CCTCTATGGCCGGATATATACTGAATTCCTCTAACGTATTACTGGGATTTGTAGTCCTCTATGGCCGGATATATACTGAATTCCTCTAACGTATTACTGGGATTTGTAGTCCTCTATGGCCGGATATATACTGAATTCCTCTAACGTATTACTGGGATTTGTAGTCCTCTATGGCCGGATATATACTGAATTCCTCTAACGTATTACTGGGATTTGTAGTCCTCTATGGCCGGATATATACTGAATTCCTCTAACGTTATACTGGGATTTGTAGTCCTCCTATGGTTGGCGGTATTCTGCATTGCTGTATAATGTATTGCTGAGATTTCTAGTCTCTTTACAGCTTGGAGTCAGTGGCAGATCTACCAGAGTCGCAGCTGCAACCGGGCCCTGGTGCTCCACCACTGGCTCCAAGCTGTAGAGAGACTACAAGTCACAGCCCGGACAGGAGGACGAGGCCCTGGTGACTGTCGCCATTTCCATAAAAAGGCTCCACCAAATGGTCAGAGACTGGACGTTGCAGAGGAAACGATGGTCGGAGACTGTGGACGTTGCAGAGGAAACGATGGTCGGAGACTGTGGACGTTGTAGAGGAAACGATGGTAAGAGACTGTGGACGTTGTAGAGGAAACAATGGTCAGAGACCGTGGACGTTGTAGAGAAAACGATGGTCAGAGACTGTGGACGTTGTAGAGGAAACGATGGTCAGAGACTGTGGACGTTGTAGAGGAAAGGATGATCAGAGACTGTGGACGTTGTAGTGGAAACGATAGTCCGAGACTGTGGATAGTCTACAGGTTTGGTTGGAGACATTTTGCAGGATACTGTGGACGTGTCCTATGAGACTAGTAGAGATCACTGCTCATACTCCTTTACAAATCAATACTTTCCCACCGCAGAATGCTGGGGTCCACAAAGCAATAACCTAAGGGCCACATGTGACTCTCGGCTCAGAGGTTGGACACCAGGGCAGTAGACCTTCTGACCTATTCTCCTTTTTGTTTTTCCTCCCTTCCCTCTTTTTAATCTACTTTTTTGTCTCTCTCCTAATAAAAAATAACTTGTTTCCCTCTCTGCAGTAACCATGACGAGCTCAGGAAAGGAGAACTCTCGGATGAAGAGCTACAAGAACAAGTCTCTGAATCCAGATGAGATGCGGCGAAGGCGAGAAGAGGAGGGGCTACAGCTGCGCAAACAGAAGCGAGAAGAGCAGGTGAGTAAGATTGAGGATGGATCATCTTTGATTTCTTCCATTAGTTGGGGCCGTCCTTCAGGGGCCATTTAAAACTCAATTTCCAGGCAAATATTCACACCCCTTCCATCCATCGCCCTCTAACCCATCCATCGCCCTCTAACCCAACCATCGCCCTCTAACCCATCCATCGCCCTCTAACCCACCCATCGCCCTCTAACCCATCCATCGCCCTCTATCCCACCCATCGCCCTCTATCCCACCCATCGCCCTCTATCCCACCCATCGCCCTCTATCCCACCCATCGCCCTCTAACCCATCCATCCCTAGGTCTGTGTCCCTCCCTGGTCCTGTTTCCAAGTGAAATCAGGTCGCCTATTCAGCACTGACCATTTGCCGGTGCTGGTCGCTCTCTGTCACCGCATGCTGAGGTCACCATTGTAGACTCCCTTTGGAAGGAGGTCAGCTGCAAGTTATTACCAAAAGTGTCTCAAATTGATGCCGTCAACTGCACCCCGGAGCCTGATGATACAAGCCCCGAGGCTGGCTTCACATCTGTGCGTTGTGGTACCATAATGCAGACTTGGCAGCGTGTTATGGTCCCAATCATTTTAAAAGATAATCTTACGCAGATGTAACCCAGTGCAAGTGCTTTGTGGTGCAGCACATTAAGAAAAAAAGACCAGAACAGATTTGTTCAAAATGAATGGGCTGCCTTCATGCAATGCACGTTAATGAGTGAATCACCACCAGTGCTGGGACTAGGTCCTTTAGTACCCAAGGCAAAAAGGCCAAAGTCCACCCCTTGCCGCCACGAGCAGCATAAATTCAGGTCCTGCCCTCTTTGCAAACCCCACAATCCACCGCCCCTCCCCTGCTAAATCATCAATAGATGGCTGGCTCTTCTGCCTACCCCCTCAGCTCAGCTCTGAATAATGCACATTAATATGCAGGAGGATCATTACAGTACAGATGTCCTTCCTGTGCATTCCTCCTCCTGTAAGCTGCACTTCCCATTGTAGCCTCCACCTCCTGAAACAAGTTAGACTGACACCGGCTATGCAGAGCAGTATATCCTAATTGGCTTACATGGCTGACTTGCCCAGTCTGTGCCTGATTTTTAATCCTTGGGCGAGTAGGATAAATTTATTACTGGAGCTGTGAGTTAAATCTTTAAATACGAACTGAAGTGTGAGAGCCGGGCCCCGAATAAGGCCGGCAGAGGGCAAAGGGCTAGTCTCCAGTATTGTCTGCAGGCTCTCTGCAGCTGATCTTTCCCCAATACGAACTCCTCATGCCTTGTTCTAAGGGGCCCGTTTCCACCAGCCCCGTGCGCCGATCGCACTGTCCTTTGCCTGGAACGCAGGGGTTTGCATACAAAATCTCCTTGCGTTCTGTGGCGGGTGGGGGGCGTGGCAGTGCCATTCATGACAATGGCACTGCAGACACGCCCACAGGACCGCTTGGCAATACAATGCCCTGCGTTCCAGTGCATGCCGGTGGAAACAAGCCCTCCTTTCAAAGTGAGGTTGTTGGTATGTATCTGTACGGCAGGAATTCTGGATGCTGGAGGATATACTGTATTAGGGATGCACCGATACCGAGTATTTGGGTGAGTACTCGTTCTCGCCCAAATACTCCGATACCTAGCACGAGCACTTCCTGTATCAGGAAGCCGGCAGCGCATCATTACACGCTGCCCGGTTTCCTGATTGGCCAGGAAACGGCTCCATGCTCTCTCGTCACTTGTCAGCGCAATGACGCGCTGCCCGGCTTCCCGATTCGTCAGGAAGCTAGAAAATCTGGAAGCCAGGCGCCGTGTAATGACGCAGCGCCCGGCATTCTGATTGGCCGGGAAGCCGGCGTCATGCTCCCTCGTCATCTCATGAATCATAATATTAAGAAAGTGACCTTAAAGCATTAGTTTGTATTGCTTTAGAAAAAATGTGACCTGTCCCTTTTAAGAAATAATTATAATTATTGTATTTGGTATCTGCAAGTACTTGATCAAAAGTATCGGTACTCGGTCTTAAAAAAGTGGTATCGGTGCATCCCTATACTGTATACCACTTCTGCTCCTCATCCTTTGGCCCCTCGTATATTTTATTATCTAAGATTTGGGAACTATGTTTGTGAAATTTCGGCACGCTTTCCTCCTTCAGTGGCAGTGTCCCAGTCCTCAGTGTACAGGTATCAGTGTATATATATATATATATACCGGCTGCTGCTGTCCGTCAGTGATGGAGGGGACATGGGAGCTGGGGGGAGGGGACTGTATCTTTGCAGGGCACGTAGATACACACAGAGTGTCCTGATGACTTTTGGGAGATCATAATCATGTCCTGACGTCACTGACATTCTGTAGAGATCATCTAAACAATTAAAATAACCTGAAAGAAAGTTCATTCCACATTTGGGTAATAAATGTTCTCCTGGAACACCAGGAAGTCATTTTTTATGTCAAGTATAAGGACTAATTCAGAAGGCAGTGCACATCCCATACATCCTGCTGAGACTCTCCCAGGAGGGACAGGTGTAGTGTGTAATTGCGTGCAGCAGCCTGTACCACCTTATGAGAGGAGGCTGTTGCACATGGCTACATGCAGACCCGAACCTGTACATCCATGCAGGTCCAGGTGCCAACACTTGGACGCACACTGCCTGTGTCCAAGTGTGGGCACCCGGACCCACATGGATGTGTAGGTTCGGGCCTGCATGTAACTGCGTGCAGCACCTGCTCCCATACGGAGGTACAAGCTGCCGCATGGAGTTACACGAAGCAGCTGTCCCCTGCCCCCCCCCACCCCACCCTAGCAGTCAGAGACGGCAGTGCCTTAGATCTCACACTGCAAATATACAGCGATGAGGATACAGAACAGGAGTGCCTGAGCGCACTCTCATACTAGGAGGAGCTCTGGTGTTTTTCTGGCGGAACACCAGATATGCAGAGAACATGTATGAAGATCACAGCTTCTCCAGCAGCCGTGATCTTGGTATAACCTTGTCAGGGCCGCACTTTTTATATATGTATTGTGGCCCTGAAGTGGTTAAACACATGGTGAAGCGTATTTTGAGATTGGCCTTTATTGGTACTGAAAATGATGTCCCAAGGCACCCTTAAAGGGGACTTATACTGTGGAAGTAGTGCCCCAAAAAGTCAGGCAGGTAATGAAGTACTTGCCATTAGTATTGCAGATCTTTTTCCCGTTACTGTCTTATCTGACCATCATGCCTTACTCTTCACTGTGTCTCTGTGTGGAGGCAGCCATCTTGGTAGAGGAGGAGGGCTATGCTTGCTCATTTCAGAGCTGTGCCCCCCTGATCAATGGTGATCTGATGACAAGTTTGGAATTGACCAAGAAGCGGCAGGAGAGGTGGAGGAGAAGCAGGGAGATCCTCAGGTACGGCTTCCTCTCCAGCAAGGAGAACAGTGAGCAGCACAGTACTGACATCACCCAATCTCCGGAGCCTAGCAGTCGGAGATGGCAGTGCCTGAGATCTCACACCGCAGATATACAGCTATAAGGCTCAAGGTGCATTAGTGTCTAGGCAAAGGAAGTGCGCTGCTGATGTTCCGAAGGCAGATAGATCTTTCTGGGTATTTCTTAGACACATTTCTAAATGTTTCCTATAGGATAGCAAATCTTCTCTTTCAGCTCAGGTCCACTTTAAAGTTTTCATCATTTTAAAATAATATATATAAGGATCCTCCTTTGCCGTTTACAGTAACATTTTCCCCCACAACTACAGTCCGTGTTGTCACCAATCTCTCATCTACCGTTTTCTCTTTCAGCTGTTCAAGCGAAGAAATGTCGCAACTGCAGAAGAAGCCCCCGAAGATGAGGGGATGGCCGATGGAAACCTTCACGAATCGCAGATGAATAACATGGAGATGGCTTCGGTGAGCACAACACCGCCTCTGTTTACTATCAATGATTTAAAGCCGCCTTAATTTTGATGATTGATCGTTTTCACATGGTATCGTTCTCTGCAGAGCGGGGTCATCAGCGCCGACATGATAGAAATGATCTTCTCAAATAACCCAGAACACCAGCTGACCGCCACACAGAAGTTCCGAAAACTCCTATCGAAAGGTAACGGTCCGATCGTGTGTAATGAAAAGAACAAAGGGGGCGCCCTTCTTGATGCCACTTGCATATGAGGAGCCTCTGAGAGGCCCATTTATAAAGATCGGGGGAATAATTGTTCTCCATTTTGCCGCATTCCACCACTAAAGTTTTCGTCTGTTAAGTTGTAGTAGAGTCTTGTACCCTGTTAGCTGTAGATTTTTGTGCTTACGTTTTGTGGGCGGCCATCTTGGTAGAAGCAGGGCTTTCCTTCCTCATGTCAGAGCTTGCAGCAAGGAGAACTGTGAGCAGTACAATAGTGGCGTCACCAACTCTCACTGTAAGGCCTCATTCACACTACTGACAGCCGGCCTGTACAGATCCGTGCTGCGTGCGCGGCCGTAGCGGGCGGCTCCCAGGAAAGACAGGTGCTGAGTGGGATTTGTACGCAAGCGGCCTGTTCTTCTCTATTGGAGTACATGGCCGTACGCTGCCCTACGCTGTTCTTCTCTATGGGAGTAAGCAGTAGTACACTAACCCGAACTGCATGTCCGTGCGGGTGTCAGTACTCGTACGCAGACAGGATGGATCCTGCCTGCGTCCGAGCAGGGGCACCCGCACGGACGTGCAGTTTAGGTTAGCATACTACCGCTTACTCGCATAGAGAAGGGCGGCGTACGGCCGTGTACACCCATAGAGAAGAACAGGCTGCTGCGTGCAATCACACCTTCCCGGGAGTGAATGAGGCCTAAATCTGGTAAGACTAGCAGACAGGAGCAGCAGTGCCTTCTATCTCGCATTGCAGATGTACAGGTGCGAGGCCCAAGGCAAGGGAAGTACACTGCTTATTTTTAGAAGGAATTCCACACACAAGGTACATTTTTTCAGGTTACTGCTTTGGTACAGTTATTATTATTATTATACCGGGTTTATATAGAGGCAGCACGGTATTTAACAGTGAGACTGTACAGTAACAATACAATTCAAGACAAGAGGGTTATGTGGGCCCTGCTCTTCAGAGCTTACAATTAAAAAAGGGAGGGGCTGGTGATACAAGAGGTAATAACTGCGAGGAGATGAGTTGATGGAGAAAGTATATGTTCAGTTGTTTGGTGGAGGCGGGATAGGCTTCCCTGAAGAGTTGAGTTTTTAGGGATCGCCTAAAGGCAGTCAAGGTGGGAGATAGACGGGTTGGGGTAGGATGTTCCAAAGGATGGGGGACACTCTGGAGGTGAGCATCCGAGGAGCTGATGAGGCATCTAGAGAGCAGGATGTCTTGGGAGGAGCAGAGAGGACGGTTAGGGTGATATTCTGAGCAAGGTTGGTGATGTAGGTCTGGCCAGTTCTACATCACCGGCTTTGTATGTTGTTTTTAGTATTGTGAATTTTTATTTGTTGGGTGGGTGAAAGCCAGTGGAGGGATTGGCAGAGGGGGGTGGGAGATGGAAGCCAGTGGAGGGATTGGCAGAGCGGGGTGATGGATGGAAGTCAGTGGAGGGATTGGCAGAGAGGGCTGGGGGATGGAAGCCAGTTTAGGGATTGGCAGAGGGGGGTGGGAGATGGAAGCCAGTGGAGAGATTGGCAGAGAGGGGTGGGAGATGGAAGCCAGTGGAGGGATTGGCAGAGGGAGGTGGGAGATGGAAGCCAGTGGAGAGATTGGCAGAGAGGGGTGGGAGATGGATGCCAGTAGAGGGATTGGCAGAGAGGGGCGGGGAGAGGGAAGCCAGTGGAGGGATTGGCAGAGGGAGGTGGGAGATGGAAGCCAGTGGAGAGATTGGCAGAGAGGGGTGGGAGATGGATGCCAGTAGAGGGATTGGCAGAGAGGGGCGGGGAGAGGGAAGCCAGTGGAGGGATTGGCAGAGGGAGGTGGGAGATGGAAGCCAGTGGAGAGATTGGCAGAGAGGGGTGGGAGATGGATGCCAGTAGAGGGATTGGCAGAGAGGGGCGGGGAGAGGGAAGCCAGTGGAGGGATTGGCAGAGGGAGGTGGGAGATGGAAGCCAGTGGAGAGATTGGCAGAGAGGGGTGGGAGATGGATGCCAGTAGAGGGATTGGCAGAGAGGGGCGGGGAGAGGGAAGCCAGTGGAGGGATTGGCAGAGGGAGGTGGGAGATGGAAGCCAGTGGAGAGATTGGCAGAGAGGGGTGGGAGATGGATGCCAGTAGAGGGATTGGCAGAGAGGGGCGGGGAGAGGGAAGCCAGTGGAGGGATTGGCAGAGGGAGGTGGGAGATGGAAGCCAGTGGAGAGATTGGCAGAGAGGGGTGGGAGATGGATGCCAGTAGAGGGATTGGCAGAGAGGGGCGGGGAGAGGGAAGCCAGTGGAGGGATTGGCAGAGGGAGGTGGGAGATGGAAGCCAGTGGAGAGATTGGCAGAGAGGGGTGGGAGATGGATGCCAGTAGAGGGATTGGCAGAGAGGGGCGGGGAGAGGGAAGCCAGTGGAGGGATTGGCAGAGGGAGGTGGGAGATGGAAGCCAGTGGAGAGATTGGCAGAGAGGGGTGGGAGATGGATGCCAGTAGAGGGATTGGCAGAGAGGGGCGGGGAGAGGGAAGCCAGTGGAGGGATTGGCAGAGGGAGGTGGGAGATGGAAGCCAGTGGAGAGATTGGCAGAGAGGGGTGGGAGATGGATGCCAGTAGAGGGATTGGCAGAGAGGGGCGGGGAGAGGGAAGCCAGTGGAGGGATTGGCAGAGGGAGGTGGGAGATGGAAGCCAGTGGAGAGATTGGCAGAGAGGGGTGGGAGATGGATGCCAGTAGAGGGATTGGCAGAGAGGGGCGGGGAGAGGGAAGCCAGTGGAGGGATTGGCAGAGGGAGGTGGGAGATGGAAGCCAGTGGAGAGATTGGCAGAGAGGGGTGGGAGATGGATGCCAGTAGAGGGATTGGCAGAGAGGGGCGGGGAGAGGGAAGCCAGTGGAGGGATTGGCAGAGGGAGGTGGGAGATGGAAGCCAGTGGAGAGATTGGCAGAGAGGGGTGGGAGATGGATGCCAGTAGAGGGATTGGCAGAGAGGGGCGGGGAGAGGGAAGCCAGTGGAGGGATTGGCAGAGGGGGGGGATGGAAGCCAGTGGAGGGATTGGTAGGGAGGGGTGGGAGATGGAAGCCAGTGGAGGGATTGGCAGAAAAAAAAGATGGCAAACCTTCTCTGTTTGAGTTCCGGATATCTTTAAGTTGCAGGTTCCGTGGTCGGACATTATGCAGTTCTGAAATTTGGTTCTGAAACCGACGTATTTATAGAGTAACAATCGGAAACAATGACATATCACAATTGATAAAATGCAACTATTTTCTCTTGGCACAGTTTGCTGGCGGCCTCCTGGCAGTCCAGGCACCAGCATTGTTTGGAGGGAGAGAAATCAATGTAATCAATGTGAAGTGAGACAGGGATAGATGAAGTTCTGTAGTACTGCAGACAGAGGTGACAACATTACTTGGCATTTCAGAGGAGAGGCAGCGTAAGGAGCGCACTGGATTTCTGGCAGACCTACAGGTATTGTTCTGTACTTGCAGCATTTGTAAGGGGATAACACACGGGGAACCGTTCATGTACTGCAGACATGTACCAATTTTATTTTGTTTTGTCCAGATATGCACCGATTGTGCAGAGGGGAAGAGAGAGGGGCGATGGGGGAGCAAAGCCTGGGGAAGGAACAGCAACCTCAGAACTCAAGCTGCGCTGGAACTACAAATCCCAACATGCTTCTGCTTTGGGCGTCATGCATGTGTCTATCAGAGTCTTTCAATGCCTCATGGGAATTGTAGTTCCACAACAGCTGGAGTGCCGAGGTTGCCTGCCCCTGGCCTAGGGCCTGCAAAAGGCAATATTTGGGTGAACATTTTGACTCAATCTTCTTCACCGTTTCTTCACAGCATAGCCCGTCACTGACACAGGAGAAGGGGAAGTGTTTACTCTTTCTGTATTTCATGCAGGGCAAAGTCCTAGTGTCACTTACACAAGGAGGGGCGCATGGTGACTTTCACACGCACACACACATTCACACGCACTTAATAAGGAACTGTTATCCTTGGATAGGATTCTCTGTATTCAGTAGGATCACAAAACCTGTTGCATGCATTAAAGCTGCAAAAGTGGGCTCTGTTGGGCAGGAGTATTGATTGGCTGCATGCGTGGAGGCAGTCGCTACCCCTGCTTCACTTCAAACCCACCCTTGGCCATGGCTCTAAAACTTCTATTTTTTTCTAAAGTGTATCCACCATGTAACTTTGTGGGATTTTTTTGGGAGGTAGTAGAGTGAGGAAGGGTTAGCCCCAGTGGAACTCTTCCTGTTCAGGTGATAACATAACACCAGGACAGGAGTCTTATGGGGGGACAAGGTGCCAGAATATCATGGGAGACAGGGCCCCATGGGGGGGAAGCAGGGATTCCATAAGTTAGGGTTAGCCCTATTGGAACTCTTCCTGTTTCGGTGACAACATAACACCAGGACAGGAGTCTTATGGGGGGACAAGGTGCCAGAATATCATGGGAGACAGGGCCCCATGGGGGGGAAGCAGGGATTCCATAAGTTAGGGTTAGCCCTATTGGAACTCTTCCTGTTTCGGTGACAACTTAACACCAGGACAGGAGTCCCATGAGGGGGTAGTCCCGTGGGGGGTTGGCAGGGCACCAGAGCCCCATGGGGGCAGAACGCCAGAGTGAGAATAAAGTACAAGAGTCCAGTAGCCACCTAGACATTGGATCTATAGCATACGGTATAATTGCTAAAATGACATTTTGAGGGGAAGGTTTTTAAAATGCCTTTATTTTTCCATTTGCCACCTTCTATGATTTCTCTTTGATGCCTCCGTAGTAACTTCAATCAGATTTTTAGGGGAATCAGGACCTCCTTCCTCCTGCTGGGGACCCCTCTAGTGATAATAAAGATCAGGACCTCCTTCCACCTGCTGGGGATCCCTCTAGTGATAATAAAGATCTATATAGAGGGATCAGGACCTCCTTCCTCCTGCTGGGGATCCCTCTAGTGATAATAAAGATCTATATAGAGGAATCTAAAGATCTATATAGAGGAATCAGGACCTCCTTCCTCTTGCCGGAGATCCCTCTAGTATTGCACTGCAGAGCGATGTTTGCTTTTTCCATCCCTGGCCATATTGTTTACTCATTTTGCAATCATCAAAAATTAGCACACCCCTCAAATCTTTTTTCCCATACAAACACCCCTAGGAATATCGACCCTATTGCACACCTTTGTGTCATGCCCAAAAAAGACATACCTTGGCCACCTAACTTTCAGTTATATCGCTTACAAACTTTAAAAGGAACAGGACTGAGTACTGATCCTTGGGGTACTAGCTAAAAGGTTTTTTCTTTTTAAGATCACTATGGAACTGTATCAAATGCTTTGCTGAAATCAAGATAGGTCCACAGCACCGCCTGTCAGACTGGACTGCAGAAATCCTTCATCAGTATCCTAGTACATACCTCCAGGGAACCCCTTTTATATAATTTTTATCCCTAATCCTTTGTCTTCACAGAACCCAACCCGCCTATAGACGAAGTCATTGGCACGCAAGGGGTGGTGGCCCGGTTTGTGGAGTTCCTGAAGAGGAAGGAAAACTGCACATTACAGGTCAGTTACTTGGGACGCCACCCCCAGGGGGCACAACACCACGGGCTTCTGCCGCCACCGAACCCTCTCGCCTCGATCAAGTTTCGCACCCATTCTCTCAGGAGGCATTAGCACCTTCAGAGCCTCCTGCCTACAACTGGGGACAAGCCCGGCGTAACCGGACCAGAATCAACCCAGGAGGAAAGGAGGCCCCTCCAGTACCCACCCATCACATCAGGGAATACCGAGCATCTCTCCGTTCCGGTGGATCGATGCCTTTCTTCCCTGAAAACTGATAAGAACAGATACTACACTTGATCTTAGCCAAAAGGCCGAGAAGCGATTACTTCCTGGCTGAGTTGCTGTTGTTCCCGGTTGCTTCCACTTTGTTATAATCCCAGTAACAGGTGACGGCGGAATATTTAGTAGCCAGGAAATGTCACGGACGGACTTATTGCACAGGTGACAACCTATCACGGCACCACGCTTGTAGTCACTGAGCTCCTGAGAGCGACCCGTTCTCTCACAAATGTCTGTAGAAGCGCCTGCATGCCGAGGTGCGTGATAAAGCTGAAGTTTAATATGTATACATAATGCCTTAGCTTGTTTTCAATTATGTAATTAGTCTAAACACAGGAGACGTGCTGCAAGTGTGTGTGTGGGGGGGGAAAGTAATGCTGCAGTTCAGCTTTAATTGTCTGACTAACTTGTATTAACCAAACTCACTTTTATTTCCTTCAGTTTGAAGCGGCATGGGTACTAACGAACATCGCCTCAGGCAACTCCCTGCAGACCCGAATAGTGATCCAGTCCGGGGCCGTCCCCATCTTCATCGAACTGCTCAGCTCAGAGTTTGAAGATGTACAGGAGCAGGTACGGCACCTTCACCGCCACCTTTGTCACGCTTCATCTGATCAGATCAACACTGTCGCCAATTCACAGCAACACATCTGTCCTACTACCTGCAGTTGTACAACACCACAGTACCTAGCAGCACTCCACAGCATCATCACATATTACTTATCAGCTTCACCATTCCTTAATCTTCTGCTGCCTCCACCACTGTAGTCTCTCTCTATCTTTTCCTCTCTCTTTCTCTCTCTCCTTAGCCGAGTGATACACAAATAAGATACATTGTTGTTCAGAGTTCAGGGACTTGAATGTATTTTTTAAAAGATTTAACATAAATATATTTTTAGTTTTAATCTCTGAGTTTATGATGCATAGAGGAGAATTTATCAACACTGACTGTCAAGCTTTTTTTTTCTTTTTCTTTTCTTTGTCCCTTCTTCTTCTTCTGTATTGATTTGTCCCTCCTTTCTTTTTTTTCTCTCTCGTGTAACTTTCAGCGTAAGCTCTGTAAGCGACAGGTAAAAACACACAATCCCCGAGTCCTGCAGATCCTTTCATGGCTTTTATGATGGCAGTTCTTTAGTAGAAATAATTGCATATGTGTGTTTTGTTTCCTCACAGGCGGTGTGGGCTCTCGGAAACATAGCAGGAGACAGCACGGTGTGTAGAGACTACGTTCTAGACTGCAACATCCTGCCGCCTCTCCTCCAGTGAGTACACCGTCCTCTGTGCTGTCACAATATGATGTTGTTAAGAGTCCTTTCTTAAGGTGCCCGTAGACTGTGCGAATTTGAACTGGCTGAAATCCACACAGTGGGTGCCGCTGTTGGCATCCTTTTCAGCCGGCATCCCTTGATCAGCTGATGTTAGGAGGTGGTCAGAGAATCCTCGTACGAACAGAGCCGGCAGCCAATGAGGTGCTGGCTGTGTTTAGGTATTCTGACAGCGGCCCTTGTCAGAATACATAAGAAGCAGCAGGGATTCCTCAATCAACATGCTTGTAGCTTTGATGGATGAATCTGCTCTATTTTTTTGTTTAGAACGCTGGTTGAACACAGAAAGAAGCAGTGCATGGGCAGCTTTAGAAATGCAGCATTCATGGGAAGGTATCTGTGGCATACGTAAATACGTATTTTTCTGCACTTGGCTCAGTGATGGTTTTAAAGGAGAAGTATGGGGTCAGTGTTTTTCCCCATAGTTCTCCTAAGGGTCACAGGAGGACATAAACTAGCGTCCTCCCGTGACCCAAAGTTCAGTATATAGGGAGCTACAGCTCGCAGTATACTGAGACCACGGCAGCCGGGACAGATCCCGACATTACTGTCGGGATCCACCCAGCTGTGTGAGTGACAGCTGGCTCTGCCTATCTAGAGGCAGAGCCAGCTGTACCCGCCCCTCCCCCGTCTGTTCCGCCAGTCAGCGCTGGCGGATCGGAGCAGGGAGGGGTGGGGGGGGTTGAATCTTTGCAGGGAGCCGTGAGTGACCAGGCACAGCTCTCTACGGGGATATGATCGAGAAGTGAGCGAGCGACGGTATGTGTCCTCTCACTTCCCGATCTATTGAGCCGACCTGTGAGGTTGAATAAAAATCGGCCACCTCATAGTCCTCCTTTAGGGAAGGACCAGCAGATATTGCAACATAGGCGGTTTCCTGTATGTAGAAGTCAATTCAGAAAACTTGTATTGGTTATTGTTGATTCATTGAGCATACGTGTTTGCTAGTATATTGTATCCTCGTAGAGGTATTACATTACATTTTTTTTCTGCTACTTTCCACAAAATGTAATGTCAATCAGATCTTTATCATAAAGTTTTTATTATATTTATTATTATAAAATGTAAAGGCAAATCTTGTGTCTTCAGGAATGTATAGTTTTGGTAAATCTTATGGGAACATAAAAATGGTGATTTTGTAATGTAAGCATTCCACTGAGTATATCCTCAGATTTACATTACACCTTTTTAAAATTTTTTTAATCCTGTTTATATGGTATACAGCTAAAGTAAAGCGTTACCGTCATTGTGCGCGGACGTTCTGTTCTCACTTTTCTGTTCTGGACAGCAGGCTGACGCACAACTGCTCCATTCATGCTGACATTGCTCTAGAATTATTATTAATATTATGGAGGACGGGGGGTTTAAAATTAAATATGGAATTCTGGAGCCAGCAAGAGCTTGCTCCATTGACAACAACTAGGGAAAAGCTCAAAAGTTAGGGACCAGCTGAAATTTGACCGGAGCATTGGTTTCCTGGCATCTGGGATTTATCCAACCCCTGATATAGAAATTATGTAGCACCAATGATTTGCACAATATAAAGTAAAACCGTTATCCCTCTGACACCAACAGTATGTGACCCGTGTCACCCCCCTGACACCAACAGTATGGGACCCGTGTCATCCCCCTGACACCAACAGTATGGGACCCGTGTCATCCCCCTGACACCAACAGTATGGGACCCGTGTCATCCCCCTGACACCAACAGTATGGGACCCGTGTCATCCCCCTGACACCAACAGTATGGGGCCCGTCACAATTATGGGGTTTATTGTACTCCTAGGTTGTTAAACAAAGTGAATAATAAAAATAAGGAACACACCAGGGTTTTAAGAGTGTTATTTCTCCTTTGGGGTACGGCGTGCCGGAGTGTTCAGCTCAGGGAGTTATAGAGCTACATTCATTCCTTATCAATCCCTACTTGATATGGAGTTTCATAGATTGAAGGAGTCACGCAGATATACATTGTATTTGGAGATGAATCTGGAGGTTGTCCTCACACTTGTGTGCTGTGGTAACACGTGATCTGCAGTGACGTTTGTGCGCTGCGTTGGTGTATATTGCAATAAAGTGATGCCGGCATACGTGTAATCGCAGTGCAGCATGTTACAGCACACGGCAATACATTGCAGCACTTTGCATTGAGCTGACACACAGCTGAATTCATGTTATTTAAAAAAAGAAAAACTCAATGCGCTGATATATGTTCTCATTTTTTGTTTATTTTCCATATTATGGGCGGGGGATCTTCTTTGTTCAGCCCGCAGTTGAATGAAGAAAATATAACCATGTATACCGTATTTTACCATCTCCTCAGCTTCCGAGCAAACACCGGAGGGATCAGTATTGACAAATCCGGTTCTTGATCAGTGACGGATCGGCTAACATTTCACAGGTTTGTCACCTGGGGAGAGTCTGCCAAGCGGAGGACCAGAAACCTGTGAAATGTTTGCCGATCCGTCACTGAGCAAGTTTCAGTATGCCATAGGTCAGTGGCCCGGAAACTGTTGATCCAGAGGAAGGCGAAACCCCTTGTGACCCCCTAAGGCAATCGGATAATGTTCCCTGGATCAAACATCTAATTTGGTGGGTGGGGCGGTTGTGGTGGGATTTCTCCATCCATGCTCTTTAGCGCGGATGGAGGAATGCGTTATATTTTTGTTTTGGTTGGCCCTGTATTCAGGTGGCATTGAATACTCACCTTCCAGGGATTGCTGTCTTCCTTCAGAAGCTGCTCTGCTTTCATCCTCCTCAGCGCAGCTCTTTCCTCCTTCCTGATGATGTTGGCCAGGGCAATTTTCCTCAGCTCTTCATATTCCAGCGGGGCGTCGTCTGGTATGTCACTATCCTTTTCGGACATATCCGGTGGAGATATTCTATTTGGCGCCATCAACTCTTCAATTTCTTTCTGCTTTGCCCTGGCTATTCCCTCTTTTATCTTTCTCACGGCTCTCCCTTGGTCCTGACGCTCCTGCAACAGTCGCTGATGGAGCCCATAAAAGGAGCGTTTCAGGGCACGGAGATCTGCGACGACCTCCTCGTCCGTCTTCCCCCTCGTCACTTCCATCCTTTTCAGTTTGGCGCTCAAGAGCTGCAGCTGGTTTTTAAGGCGCCCGACTTTTGCGGCAGCAATGTCAAAGTCATCCAAAAAAAGATGATGGAATCCGTTGTCTCCCCATCCATGCACCTTCTTATCCATCATGATGTGGTCCTCAATCTCTTCTTGAAGCAGATGTTCATAGTCCTTGTTCTCGACGATCAATTGCCTGATTTCCTCTTTAAGATGCATGTCCTGACCGCGTCTGCCCAGCTTGTTGTCCAACCGGGTCATCTCTTTCCTGGTTGGCATCTTCAGCTGTGTGTTAAAAAAAAAAGGAGAGATGGAGATTGTGACGGCAAATAGCTGGATATCCTGACGATACCTGGGCCTTAGAAAGGCAGTTCTGAGATACAAAGCTAACACTGCTGAATAAGATGACGGCCATTTCTGGCTTAGTCTTCTGAAATGTAAATATAAGTCACATGACCGAAGTAAAAATCCCTATCTCTGAGGTTAAAGGATTGTGTTCTCAGCCAATGGGCTACAACCCAACGATTGTTGCAATACACAGTTAAGACTACGAAATATGGGGCTTATTTCACCCTTGTCATCCCCCTGACACCAACAGTATGGGACCCATGTCATCCCCCTGACACCAACAGTATAGGACCCGTGTCATCCCCCTGACACCAACAGTATGGGACCCATGTCATCCCCCTGACACCAACAGTATGGGACCCATGTCATCCCCCTGACACCAACAGTATGGGACCCATGTCATCCCCCTGACACCAACAGTATAGGACCCGTGTCATCCATCTGACACCAACAGTATGGGACCCATGTCATCCCCATGACAGCAACAGTATGGGACCCATGTCATCCCCCTGACACCAACAGTATGGGACCCGTGTCATCCCACTGACACCAATAGTATGGGACCCGTGTCCTCCCACTGACACCAATAGTATGGGACCCGTGTCCTCCCACTGACACCAATAGTATGGGACCCGTGTCCTCCCACTGACACCAATAGTATGGGACCCGTGTCCTCCCACTGACACCAATAGTATGGGACCCGTGTCCTCCCACTGACACCAATAGTATGGGACCCGTGTCCTCCCACTGACACCAATAGTATGGGACCCGTGTCCTCCCACTGACACCAATAGTATGGGACCCGTGTCCTCCCACTGACACCAATAGTATGGGACCCGTGTCCTCCCACTGACACCAATAGTATGGGACCCGTGTCCTCCCACTGACACCAATAGTATGGGACCCGTGTCCTCCCACTGACACCAATAGTATGGGACCCGTGTCCTCCCACTGACACCAATAGTATGGGACCCGTGTCCTCCCACTGACACCAATAGTATGGGACCCGTGTCCTCCCACTGACACCAATAGTATGGGACCCGTGTCCTCCCACTGACACCAATAGTATGGGACCCGTGTCCTCCCACTGACACCAATAGTATGGGACCCGTGTCCTCCCACTGACACCAATAGTATGGGACCCGTGTCCTCCCACTGACACCAATAGTATGGGACCCGTGTCCTCCCACTGACACCAATAGTATGGGACCCGTGTCCTCCCACTGACACCAATAGTATGGGACCCGTGTCCTCCCACTGACACCAATAGTATGGGACCCGTGTCCTCCCACTGACACCAATAGTATGGGACCCGTGTCCTCCCACTGACACCAATAGTATGGGACCCGTGTCCTCCCACTGACACCAATAGTATGGGACCCGTGTCCTCCCACTGACACCAATAGTATGGGACCCGTGTCCTCCCACTGACACCAATAGTATGGGACCCGTGTCCTCCCACTGACACCAATAGTATGGGACCCGTGTCCTCCCACTGACACCAATAGTATGGGAC